ATCCTCTCTGCTTGTTAGCTCCATGTTAGCTTCGCAGCAGCAACCACCAGTGCACAAACTACACAAGTACTTGAGTACAAGTACAGATACCCTTAATATTACTTTACTAAAACTACAAGTCTTTAATTTAAATTTCTACTTGAGTCAAAGTACCTGATTTTGAAAATAGTACCAAAAGTAAAAACTACTATTCATCAGTAAGCAGGACTACCTAAACCAATGAGAGAAGCTGCCTCTATAGATAGTTTCAAGAAGCAGCTCAAGACCTACTTTTATGTTTTTAACTGATTAAACACACTTTTATTTATGTTTTTAATTTGATTTTATTGACCTGTCTCCTACTCTCTCTCTCTAGTTTTAACACCTGTTTTGTGCTTGAGGGGTATGTGCATGCTGCTGTATTGTGTGCTTTATTTACTATTATTAATATATTATTTCCATTTTCTATTTATTTTATTTCACCTATTTAACTAATGTTAAACTGGTTTTCTTGGGGCCCACTGGTAAGTTAGGATCAGGGTGTTTCTGTGTGTAGGTTAGAAATAATACTGTACATTGCATGTACTTTATTTTAGTATTTATCTAATGTTAGTGCTTCACTCTATATATAAGCTTCAGATTGTTTACCAGGGGTCCCTTTTCACAAATCGGCGTTATTGTACTTTAATGTTTTGTGAATAAATTAACTGGACTATAAATGGTCGCTAGTAGCATCCGTGCTACTACTTTATGTTTTTCCTGTTAAAAGTGTTTTCACTCTTTATAGACTCAACATGTGTAAAACATTTAGCATTGTTTTCATGGTGTCTGATATTAAATGTGCTGATTTAAATAAACTTTTACTTTCTGTGGTGTCACAGAGAGACACGGGCTACAGGTTTCAGCGTAACACCGGTGGCCTGTTATCTAAACATTAGCCTGTTGTTGTGAAAAGTTAGCTTCACGACTAAAAACGTCGCAGTGATTTTAAAATACTTTCACGTTTATTTAAAGCTCAAAACCATCAAAGTCAAAAGTTTTAATCGTCTGTGTGTATTTTGACATGATGTTAGTTCGGTCACAGTTCGTCTTTAAACTTTTTAGAAACTTCAGCTCTTCAGGAAAACACTTTTTAGAAAAACTCCGCGGAGCTAACGGGACTGATGCTAACAGTTAGCTCCGTTAGCAGCGGAACGTACCCGGCTGCTGGGCGGCTTCTTGTGCTGGCTCTGCCGGCTCTGCCGGCTCTTCCTCCCCGCTGGTTGTCTCCTCTTCCCGGGGTTGAGTGAGCCGCAGTCCGCTCCCTCTGCCATGATAACTTCTTTTTAAAAGTTATCCAAAGAAAGAAAGAATAAAGTATCCGGCTACAAAAGGAGCCGTATCGGATAAAACAACTGTATAAACTCCGCGGTGTCTGTCCATAAAAGCCCGCTGATGTGTAAAGCAGGAGCGGGTCAGTTTCTGAGAGCTCTCCGCTGGTGGTGATGGAGGACTAGCTTCATGCTAACTGTAGCTAAATGAAACCTGACACTTCTCTGCGGCGGGAGTTTCGTTCAAACGGAGCTCCGCCCACTTCTTCTTCTTCTTCTTCTTCTTCTTCTTCGGGCTTAAACGGCAGCTTGCGTCCGCAGTGTTGCATCACTGCCACCTTCCGATGTTCTCTCCTCACTGCAGCTGTGAAACTGCGAGCTGCTTTCATTCCTTAAAACTTGCTAGTCGCTATTTAAAAGCTTCTAGAGCTCATTTATTAGTCACTACTAACTATGTTTTAGTTATAGGCCAGATATATGATGAAATTAGGGGATGTATGAATTATAATTTTGAGCAGTGGTGGGGAAGAAGTATCAAATTACAATAATTTCAGAGAAAGATCTTTTTTTTTCATTTAAAATTTAATTAACACCACTACACGTACACAAACACGTGCTGCAGCTGATCCAGAATGCTGCAGCACGTGTTCTGACAGGAACCAGGAAAAGAGATCACATTTCTCCTGTTTTAGCTTCTTTGCATTGGCTTCCAGTAAAATCCAGAATAGAATTTAAAATCATTCTTCTTACCTACAAAGCTCTTAATGGTCAGGCACCATCTTATCTTAAAGAGCTCAAAGTACCTTACTACCCCACCAGAGCACTGCGCTCCCAGAATGCAGGGTTACTTGTGGTTCCTAGAGTCTCCAAAAGTAGACTAGGAGCCAGAGCGTTCAGCTATCAAGCTCCTCTCCTGTGGAACCAGGTTCCAGTTTGGGTTCAGGAGGCAGACACCATCTCCACATTTAAGAGTAGGCTTAAGACTTTCCTCTTTGATAAAGCTTATAGTTAGGGCTGGCTCAGGTAGTCCTGAACCATCCCTTAGTTATGCTGCTATAGGCCTAGACTGCCGGGGGATTTCCCATGATGCACTGAGCTCCTCTCTCCTCTACTTTCTCTCCCTCTGTATGCAACCTCATCCCATTATTGCATGTTACTAACACAACTTCTCCCCTTTCTGGTAGTCTTGTGCTTTCTCGTCCCTCTCCTCTCTCCTCCTATCACTTCCTGCAGGTTTTCTGGCTCTGGAGCTGTGGAGTCTGGATCTGTGGTTGCGGGTCACCTGCTGCCCCCGTGTTCCTGCTCGACACCCTCTGCTACAACAACTATTGTTATTATTGTTATTATAATCATTAACATTACAATTGTTATCATTAACACTACTATAAATATCTGTACCATTTTTCATTTAGGCTATAGCAACATCACCTTCACTGTCTGTACCTCTGTGTGTATATTGTGTAGGCTGCTTGAAATTGAATACATTAAAGCACACAGCCTGCCAGCCATGTGTCTGGTTTACGATAGATTTTTTTTCTCCAGGAGAAACTTTAGTTTAACCCTCCAGCAGCGTCACAGACGTGCAACATTACTAACACAAAAGTTATTTAAGTTGACTTCCCGTGAAAGCGGCTTCAGTTTTCATGTCCACTACCTTCTTTGTGTTTATTTAGATTGTGCTTGTAAAGCTTTATTATTCTACTTTAAACCTGCTGCTTGTTGGAAATTCTGCAAATAAAACATGATTCTTATCCAGTTGCTTTTTTATTCTGAAACACAGTCATCTTGGATTTACGCTCAGAGTACAGACGGGTAAACCGGCTCTCAGGAGGCCGATACATCCTCCTGACTGACAGCAGCTCTAATCTAACAGCATAAATATATATAGTTATACTGTAGAGATTACTGCAGCTGATGTCTGACTGTTGGAGCTTCATCAGCAGAAAGTCTGAGGTAAAATAGCTGTAAATGTGAGCATATGTGAGCTTTTGACCTCAGACTTTCTGATAGTGAAGCTGCTGGTCGGCTGACGGGTCTGTCCAGAGTCTAAATAACATCTAACTTACAAACCATCAACCATGAAGGGGCGCAGCGACCAAACTTCTCTTAAGGCTCCCCTTAATGTAAATATACATATATATAAAATTGAACACAATAAAAAATTATACCTTATTTTAAATGACAATATATTAAAAAATTCAAGAAATGTACGCTGACACTTTCAAACTCATCCTCCTTTTGACTTGATGAATAAGAACATAATAATAATGACAGGCTATTGTGACACGGTGTCTCTCTGAATTATTAATGATGCCTATTAAAAAAGAAAACCCTGAAAACAAAAACCTGCATTCTGGTGACATTTCCTGTTCTGCCTTTCCTACATTAATTTGTGATGAAAATGTTTTTATTTATGTGAAAGGAAACCTAAAATTCAGGTGGCAGGTGACATTTCAAAATCTATAAATATAACAGAATCTAAGTGTAACGTCCTCCCTGCTGACTCAGCACGCATGCAGCCTGATTTAGTCTTCGCTCCTCTTTTTGTCGTGTTCACAGGGAGAGAGCGGGAAACTCGGCCAAGTAGAAACTGTGTCAAGAAGTTGTTAAAGTTCCCGACTGCTGCTGCACGTTTTGGGTCATTTTCTAATCAGCAACACTCACACGCAGCTCATGTCTTTCAGCTCGTTAGGGCGTCTTTTACCGCAGCCCGCTCTCCCTCCCCGACTCGGCGCATATGGACGCGTGGTCGAGACCCATCGGCGTCAGTTTGTAACGCACTGGGGATCCCTGTGGCGTCGCTTTGTGACGGTAAAAGCAGGTATATGATGTTTAACAGGAAAGACTGAGTGAGGAGGTGGATGGAGGACCAGAACCCCGACTTTGAACCAGGAGATCGGGGTTCGTGCGAAACAAAAAGTCGACATTAAATATTTTTATTGAAGTTACGTAAATTGCGTAAGTGACACTGAGTGTTAACTGACGTACGTAGTTATTTTAACCCAAACCAGGATCTTTTCCGAACCTTAATCAAGTAGTTTTGTTGCCTAAATCTCACCAAACTGCAACGTCTCACTACTTTAATTAGGGGTGGCGATGGCGCAGTGGATAAGATGCTGTGAGATACCAGGGTTTAATTCCCCACTGTGACACATCCACCATTGTGTCCCTGAGCAAGACTCTTAACCCCTCGTACAGCAGCTGTAAGTCGCTTTGGATAAAAGCGTCCGCTAAATTAATAAATGTAAATAACGTCCAAATTCAAAATGGCGATGTTTTGAAACACTAGCGTTTTATTTTGAAAGTCTAACTGGACGTTGCACATTTATTATATATTTGTTGTTGCTAACTTGACCGCGGAGCCATAAACGTCAACAAATGACGCAGAACGGCGTTAAAAGGCGTCGACCGAGCGTCAATATGTGACGAGTCGGAAGTGAGAACGCGTTGTTTACCGTCTGTTCGTGTTCAGCTGTCAGAAGCTGTCAGCTGACTCCAGGAAGAAGTATAAACAGAGTCCAGACCCGCCCCCACGCCGCCTCTGATTGGCTGTTGGGTTGGGGCCTTAGAGAGTGACTGGTTAGGCAGAGCCAGTAAATAAAACGGGAAGGCAGAAACATCAAACCTGATGCAGACTCGCGTCCTCACAGAAACATTCAGGCGGGAAAAAGTGTTTTAAAAAGAGTGAATATTACCCATCAGACACCTGGAGGCACTTAATAACGAGCTGTTTTAATGAAGCTCAACATAAAGAACAAACATAAAGTGTCCCACACTCTGATGGCACCTCGAACGCCCCTCAGTCCTGTCCCTTCTTCTTCTTCTTCTTGCTCTTCTTCTGCGGTTCTTCCTCCTCCTCTGTCGTCTTCCTCTTCGTCTTCTCCTCCACCCGCTCCATGGCGTCCCACACCTCGTCGCCTCCCTCCTCCTCTTCCTCCTTCACCCCCTGATCCTCCCCCGCCGCCGCCGCCCCCCCTCCCTCCTCCAGGTCTCTGCTGGCGAGCAGGAGGCAGTTGAGGCGGGACTTGAGGTAGACTTTGTGCTGCAGCTTGCGGTCCTCCAGGCTGTGGATGCGCAGGAAGCGGTCCAGGCCACAGGACGCCACCAGGGGCTGGGAGGGGTGACACTGCAGCGCCCTCACGCCGCCCGCCAGCCCCTTCAGGCAGCCGCGGACCACGCCTTTCCTCAGGTCCAGCAGGGCGATCTGGCCGTGGGTGTTTCCCACCACCACCGTGTTACCTCCGGCGGGCAGGGACAGAGCGGTGAGCGGGTACTCGCCGTACTCGACCTCCAGGACGGGACGCCGCTGAGGACTGGAGGGGTCGAACACGTGGACCTGACGGAGGAGACGACAACGTTAAAACTCAGATCATAAAAGCCAGACCAATTATTTCTCTGGAGGCGGCGTGCTGCGTTCACTGTCCTCCCTGCTGGGCAGTGATGTTATATTACTGACTTCATAAAATGATGTAGGAGTAAAAAGTAAATGTACTTTCCACCATCAGATGTTATCACGTGTTTCTTCCTGTATCCGCAGTCTGAAGTAGTTTAAAAACCTCCTGTGTTAAGAACCAAACTACAGCTAAATAATGGCGGAAATCAGCCGGCGATGAAGGTCACATGGTGTTAATCACAGGGTGATTATTTACCTACCCAGCTGCCTCCTGTGGTTAACATGCTGTGATTATAGCAGACAATTAACTTTACTGACATTAAAGGTGTAAACAAACCTTTAAAGTTTCGTGAATCATCAGAAACTATAACTCTGGTTTTGTTGGATAACGTGGGTGTTTTCTATGTTGACGGCGGAGCAACATGGTTGTTGGCATGTTGTTTTCATAATTTCCCTTTAATATTTAGGTACTAAATTTAGGCCGAGTGGTAGAGGAGGGTTTAAAGATCAGATCTCAAGGGAGGAAAGTGTTTTTCACAGGGTGCGCATTCGCCCTCTGCGCAGTAAACTTTAAAAAGGACTGTTTTTGAATGGAGTTTGGCGGATCTCTGTTTAAAAGAAGATGACACGAACGCACCTGATGGTAACCTGTGCACGTGACCACTTTGTCCGAGTCCGGGATGAAGGCCACGTCTCGGACCCACTGCGGCCGCCGTAGATCCAGCCAGTCGTCCCGCAGGTTCTTTGCGGTGAACACGGGTTTCTCGGGTTTCTCCAGGTCCCAGATCTTCAGCCCGTTCTCCTTCCCGCCGGTCGCGACCCGGTGCGGGCTCCCCGGACTCTGCCGCATCCGGCACACGTTCTTCCCCGCGTCCAGCTCCGTGACGGGCTCGCTGCTGTCCTCCCTCCACACCCGCAGCGTCCCGCACTCCCCGCAGGTGACCAGCGCGGCCCCGGGGAGCGCGGCCAGCCCGGTGAAGGGGCCCTCTGCGGGGTCCCCGCAGCGCCGGGTCTCCGTGAAGGCCCCCTTCTCGGTGCTGAAGGTCTTCACGGTTCCGTCCACGGACCCGACCAGCAGCTCGCTCTCCGCCGGGTCCCCCCAGCACAGCGCGCGGACCTCCTGGTCCCGGCTCAGGTGGCTCGTGTTGCAGAAGTTAAAGGCCTGTTTCCGGGACAGACTGACCCCCTTCAGGATCCCGGTCTCCGAGCCGAGCCACACGGAGCACAGCCGGCTCGTGTCCCCCATCACAACGGATTTAAATGGACCGAAAACTGGATCTAAGCGGCTCCGGGTCCTGGTTCAGACAGCACGCGTCCTCCTCTGTCGACTGCGTCGCACGTCAAACACGTCACTCCGCGTCGAAGTGTTGTTTAAATAAACTTTATTGAGCACCGCGGAGCAGACAGACACAGTTCAAAGATGATCGATGAGTCAAAGTCTAAATCTAATTTATTATTATTATTATTAAGTTTTGGTCCCTTAAGCAGCAGCTTTCCTTCTAACAACATGCAGGTTTCATTTCCTCCCCCTGCTGCAGAATAACCAAAGAAAGCAAAGTTCAGGTCAGCGAAACCGAGAAATAATGTAAATTCCAGAGATTTAAAACATTCAGGGATCAAGTAAGAAGTTTTCCAGTTATTCTGCAGCAGTGGAAGGAAACTCGTTTCTACAGTAAACCCGTTGGAAGAGCCTGTTAAAACTCCTTCAGCAGCTTTAGGACAATATTATAAATATTCCATATGATATTAATGAGGGCAGACGGAGCAGCTGGTCATCAGTTGATCCTACTGTGAAATATTGAACCAAACTTCATTAAATGTTCATTTTACATCTGAAAATGTCGTTTTTAACTTTGGTACATTTCAGGTTTTTCACTTCTACTCAGATTTAGTGAAGAACTACAAACATGGCGGTGCTCTAAAACTTTGGCCCGGTGGTGTAAAAGCCCAACAGGTGCCCCTTAACATTAACAGGTACACCTGTGACCTCTGAGAGGAACGAGCTGCCATGTTCACCACATGTTCACCACACGTTCACAGAGTCTCTTCACACTGGAAAAAACATGTGACGGGAATTTAGTGAAATCAACTAAATCTCTTTAATTCAACACTAAATATATAAAAGTTTATTAGTCTGACTGATGTTTCATTCAGTCAGCATCAAACACTGAACCTTTTGAAATGATAAGAATTAGAGATGATCATGCAGCCTCTCTTCGGTTCTGGTTCAGCACTGTGTGGGTCTGTTCTGAGCGGTCCTGATGGTCTGCTGTTGTGGGTCTGACCCGCTGACAGTTTTGCTGTAGAATACTTGGTGACCTCTGAAGTTGTCGTGCGGTTCGGGGCCCCATCAACTGGTGGAATGAATCTGATTTATCAGCATCTACAGACGCACATTAGTTAAATAAGCAGGGATATTCTAAGCTTTGTCAGATTTTAGTTTACTGAAGCCCGTCTGCGCTGGACTGGGTTTTCTTTTGGACCTGAAACAAATAGTTGACCCCCCGCCCCGGTTGTCAGTGTATGATTCGCACCATTTGTGTCTGAAAAACCAAAGGGTTACAGGGAGAGTTTCTCATGGCAACACATAATGCCTGTTATAATTTTAGGATTGTCTTAAATTAACAGTTACTTTCATTATCAATTAATCCGTTGATTTTAGGTTCTATTAACTGATTGGTCTACATAATTTATAACGAAAAAAGGCACACCACAGGGTTTCTTCTTTGCCTCGAGTTTTCTTTTTCCTTGCATTTTAAACTCTTTGACTTTTCTTTCTTTTGAAATTTAAAAAATCTTGGACACTCAAAAGCTACACTTACATTCTGTTACAAAATACTTAGCACTATTTGTCCTGTACAGAATTTCAACAAAAAGGGATAGAACAGATGAGCGACACATTTTAAAAGTTATTTAAAATTAAATTTTAAAATTTATTTAAAATGTGAGGGAAAAAAAGACGGAAAGAGAGGGCAAAATTAATATGAATAAATTCAACATAATACTGAGAGAGTGAATGTGCCCTTTTTACAGTGAGCGTGTGCAGCGAGTGTTTGTTAATTCACGCGTCTACACTGTCGTCTGGTGGTCAAATGTTAAAATATGTTAAAAATGTTAAAAACACACACACACACGTTTACTGTAGTATTTATTTATTTTATTTAAATTTTTAATATTTCTTTTTTTTTCCCCCAACAGAAACACACATACGCTTTGATTACTTCATGCTTTTATTACTTGTTTGATGAAATGTATGGGGTTGATTGTTCTTATGTTGCATGTATGATGCCTTAGCAATATTTTTGTTACACATTCATGCCAATAAAGCTAATTTGAACTGAATTATAATAATAAAAACATGTAAATCACAACACTGGGGGGGGGGGGAGTTTGATAAAGCCATTTATACGATCGTGTCTGTTCACTGCCCTCCTGTGGCCGCCGTGCGTAACTACACACAAACATCGGTGTAGTTACACACCGCGGCCACAGGAGGGCGACGCGTCACTCATGCGGACCAAAGGAAAACACTTTAAAAAATTACATTATTTTAAAATAACAATCAGACTTTATTAATGTTGTTAATTTACGGTTGATGATAAAGGTTTTATTATTATTATTGCAATTATTTTTTAAAAGAACTTGCTTTACGTCATTGAGAGGCGACCGCGCATTTTACACACATGCGTATATGACGGAAGTTCCACCATTTTGGATCTCGGGGGCTACAGTAGCTAGTTGTTGCTGTTAGCTTTCGCAACCTATCGTTACTTTTTGATCGGGTTTTATTTTCCCGCTCTGATATTAAAGTTGAGTGAAAGACAGAAATCCGCCCCCGTGCTCGGATCTGAGCCTGAACATGGACGGAGAAGAGGACGACTTCGTGTCCGGGAGCCGCTCCGGTAAAAAAACACTGTGCTGCTTTGTTTCCTGTTTGAGCAACAAGCTAACTGCTAACTCACGTTTACTCACTAACGGCGAACTTCACTTAAAATACTGCGGATTTAAAGGGCTCAGCAGCAGCGTTTGTTATTAAAAACCAGGAAATGTGTCCCGTTTTAGCTCAGGTCAGAAAGCTACATATCTTTATTAGTGTTTTGGGATACATGCCGAATTAAAAGTCAGACCTAAATTGGACATTTTTTTTGTTTTTCCGTGGTGTATGTTACGAAATGTGTTTGTTTTTTACTCGTTAGCCTTAAAATGCACGATTTGTGCACGGAGTTCGGCGCGCAGGCTGTAGAAGGGCCTGGAATCTCACGGTGACCCGTGCAGGAGAGCAGCCTGTGGGGAGTCCGGTATAAGACTCGGGCCCGGGTCCTGGATCATAGGAAGGAGATTTGTAACAGAGGTTAGCAGCAGTGTGTCTTATTAAAGACCGGGAAATGTGTCCCGTTTCGGCTTCACCCTCGGCGGCAGGCAGCGTTTTACGGCCCCGGTTCTCAGTCTTATTCACGTTTGAACGTGTTTACTGGATGAGGCTGTTTGTGTTTTGTGACTGAGGCAGAATCAGGGGCCACATAACGACTTGAATCCGCTCGTAAGTCGCCTCCTGTCGGCTAGAACCGTGCGGAGTGAACGCCGAAGTGCTTTCATGGTGTGGGGAGAGAATAGGTCAGAAAACTAGATGTGTTTATTTTAATGTTTCGATATTTATGCCGAATTGAAAATCAGTCCCGAGTTATACCTATTCGGTTTCTCGCTACATATTTTTATTTTATCACAGTGAATTATTTACTCGTGAACCTTAAAATACGCGATTTGTGCACGGAGTTCGGCGTGCAGCGCTGCTAGAAGAGGCTGTAATCTCTCTGATTTCAAGGTGAATTACTTTACCTGACGGTGACCCGGGCTGGACAGCAGCCTGTGGGGGGAGAGCTGTGTTAAGTTTCAGGGTCAGGACATTTCTAACAGACGTATGTCAGCAGCTGTGTTTATTAAAGACCAGGAAACGTGTCTCTCTTCGGCTTCAGGCTGCCCCTCATAAGTACAAATGAGGTGGTCCCATCCTGATCACGTGAACACACACCTGCCTGTGCACAGCTCAAGAAAACAGTCATTACAAGCAGCTTGTTTTAAAGAGTTTTATATATTTAAAAATAATAATAAATGAAGGAGACCTGTGAACCACAAATACTGCAGCATATTATTTATGAAATCTCCTCCTGTTTGTGAAGCATTTAAAAATAAAAGACAGCTTGTAACTTTCTTGTTGTTTATTTTACTTCCTAATTGAAATTATTTGCTTTTCTCAGCTTCTGGTTTCTATAAAAATTCAAACTTCCTCACATGCAGCGTGTAAACAAACTCTGTCCAGGAGGCCTTCAGTCACACAGGCTGACGATATAAAACTATATAACTTTTTGAATGGAGTTTGGTGTGCAGGCTGAAGAAGATCCTGAAATCTTTTCCGTACTGAAGCCGCCACGGTGCAGGAGACCGCCGTGTTCTCAGGCGGGACCGTTAAGGTGTGTTTGTGACCTGTTGTGTGTTCTGCAGATGACGGAGGCGGCACTCCGGTTCAGGACGAACACCAGGGGTCAGACGGCGAGGAGATGAGGAGCGACAGACATCAGTCTGAGGTCAGCACGCCGTCTTTTTAAAGAACTCTGAAGATCTGAAACACAAAATGTTGTAGTGTTCTTGTTAATGGTGGCGTTCAGAACAAACGGCTCCGCCCCCTCGGGGATCGATAAAGTGTTTCTGATGACCGGCGCTGTTTGTTTCAACAGGACGAGGGCAGCAACGACGAGGACGCCCCCCACGCCATGGAGGCCAGCGGGGCGGCCAGCGGCTCCGACGACGAGGATCACAGAGGAGGCGACAGCGACTCGGAGGCCGAGGCTCCCGGGGGCCGCCGTGACAATAAAAGTGACTCAGAGACGGAGGCTCCTCGGCCCGCCGACAGCGACGAGGACTCTCCGGTCAAACGCAAGGCGAGCGGCTCGGACGACGAGGCGGAGTCGCTCGCCAAACGCGGAGCTTCAGATAACGAGGAGGCGGGAGGGTCGTCTCCCGCCAAGCGCAGGGGGAGCAGCTCGGACATGGAGGAGGGGCCCAAAGCGGCCGCAGACAGCGACTCAGAGAACGAGGGCGTCAAACCTGCGGCGTCCCCCGACCGGCGGTCCAACGCAGACAGTGACTCTGACACAGAGACGCCTGCCAGACGCAAGGCGGCACAGATAGACTCTGAGGAGGAGGAGGAGAAACCTCAGGAGGGGGGGGGAGGAGGAGGAGGGAAGTGGAAGGCTGTGATGCAGTCTGACAGTGAGGAGGAGGAGGAGGGGGGGAGGAGGAGGAAGGCTGCAGCAGGAAGTGATGGGGAGCAGCAGGAGGAGAGGGAGCAAAGGGACGACAGCGAGGACGAGAAGCCAGGTACTGACCCCAGACCAGCGCGTGGGCGGAGCCGCAGCTGAAACCCGACACCTGTTTGATTCCCTCTCTGACATGTTCTGTGTGTTTCAGTGAAGAGGAAGAAGGCCGTCCTGTCCGACAGCGAGGATGAAGACGAGGAGAAGGCAGACAAGCCAGGTAAGATCAGATCACTGACCTCCAAAGACGGGACGCTCTGCCGTCCGCATACTTTTGGCCGTGCGGTAACCACGCTGTGTTTTCTCTCCTCAGCGGTGAAGAGGAGCCGCGCCGTGTCCGACGACGAGAACTCGGACAGCGACGTCGGCGGGCCCGATAAGAGCATGGCCGCCAAACTGCGAGAGCTCGGCTCAGACAGCGGGAGCGAGGACGACGAGGGGTCGAAGGCGGCGGCGGGGAAGAAGGACGAAAAGGCGCTGTTCGGCAGCGACAGCGAGTCTGGAGACGGCGACGAGGAGGAGTAAGTCAAACCACAGCACAGAAGGACGATTCAGGTTTTCTTTGGGAAAGTTGTGTGACCTTTGACCTCTGCTCCTCAGGAAGATGATCGCGGACATCTTCGGGGAGTCCGGAGACGAGGAGGAGGAGGAGTTCACGGTGAGTACGGCTCTGGGAGGGGAAACGCCGCAGGCTTCGTGACATGTCGGGTGACACGGGGTCTCCTTCCTCCGCCTGCAGGGGTTCAACCAGGAGGACCTGGACGGGGCCAAGAAGGAGGCGAAGGAGCAGCAGCAGGTGGAGGAGGAGTCCGACTCCGACGACGGCGTCGACCGCAGCGGCCAAGAGTGAGTCGCTAACGAATTAAAGATCCTTTTATTTATTTATTTATTTATTTATTTGTTTTATATGTACAGAAATGGATAAAGAGAAAATCACAAGGTCAGTTTGTTCTCCTGTGGCCGTGTTGGGCATTTAAACTCGTGCTGGCGGGGCGTCCGCTCGTTTGTTTGCGTCACCGCGGCGTGTAGTTACATTTCTGGGGAGTCGCTCATCAGGCCACAGAAGTATAAACTGACCTGAACACGTGGAGCTGAAGCGTGTTCGTGTTCTCGCGCGTTTTCAGCACCAGCTTCATGTCCGACTTCGACATCATGCTCGCTCGGCGGAAAGCCATGAACAGCAAGAAGAGGCGGCACCGCGACGGGGGCACGTTCATCAGCGACGCGGACGACGTGGTCAGCGCCATGATCACCAAGATGAACGAGGCCGCAGAGGTGAGTCCCCGTCAAAATAAAAGCCTCGGGGTGAGCGCTGCTTTTTCCCGTGACACTGACGGTGTGTTCCTCTAACAGGAGGACCGAACGCTGAACAGCCAGAAGAAACCGGCGCTGAAGAAACTCACTCTGCTGCCGCAGGTCGTCATGCACCTGAAGAAGTAAGAACGTGATTCATCGGTAGCGAACAGGCCTGCAGCTCAGGATTATTTAAATTATAGACCAATCGAAACAAGAGGAAACGCTTCAAAAGGCTGAACCTCAAAGGTTTAATGTTGTTGTGGTGGTGTTTGTCCCTCAGGCAGGACTTGAAGGAGACGTTCATCGACAGCGGCGTGATGTCGGCCATTAAAGAGTGGATCAGTCCTCTGCCGGATAAGTCGCTGCCTGCTCTCAGGATCAGGGAGGAGCTCCTGAGGATCCTGCAGGAGGTGAGTACGGCGGCTGCGGCGTGAGGACGTCCTGCAGACGAAGCTCAGGGTCTCACTGTGTCCTTTCCTCCCTGCAGCTGCCCAGCGTGAGTCAGGAGACTCTGAAGCACAGCGGCATCGGACGCTCCGTCATGTTTCTCTACAAACATCCCAAAGAGTCTCGATCCAACAAAGACCTCGCTCTCAAACTCATCAGTAAGAACCTCTCTTTGCATTCAGGCGTCTAACGGAGGCACGTGAGCAACTTGTTTTTGCCGCTGACGGAACTGAAAGGATCCCAACAGAGAGAGAGTTTTTCTCTTTAACCAGAAACCGTCTCTCTCTCGCTTCCTCGAAAGCCACCAGACTCCATTGATAAAAATAGTCATTTTAAATCTGCCTCCATCTGTTGGTTACTGTGTTATTGTGGGACTCGTTTTCAACCCTTTAACCTCTTCAAAGCAAACTGAATCTAGTTCTCGAACCATCTGGAGTATCTGCCTGCTTTTGGGCGTCTCTGAAAGAGACACTCTGGAGTGTCTGACCCCAAAGTCAGAATGACTGTAAGACCTACTGGAACTGATTAATATGAGTTTAAACACACTAAAACTAATAGATTTATCAACAAATCCCTGCAGATAACTACAGCTGGGAAACACTGTAGGGCCGCAGCATAAAGCCTTAACTTACCTCGAACAAGTTTACATTTCATACCAACACCATGAAAAATGACTATTTTCCACAGGTTTTTCTGACTGTCTGTCTCAGTGTATTTGTTCTAAAATAGCCCCGCCCCCTTGGCGGCAGGCGGCTGCTGCTGCGTCGTGTGTTTCCGCTGGTAGTTTATGAACTTCCTGCTTAAAGCTGGATGTTTATTGGCTACAGGAAGCGCCAGTCATCGGCACAGCTGGTTGCAATTGGCTCGGCCTACGCAGGAAATAACAGGGGCCGGCCCTTCCTCACAGCGCGGGCTCTCGTTGGCTATTGAAGGCTGTGAAAGTGACACGTGAGCTCCTATTGGGTCGGATTTGGTGCCACTCAAAAGGTCAAAGTTCAGCGGCTAATTTGAATACAAGCTGTCGTATTTGTTTACATTGAAATCAGAGTTATTAGGGTTATAAGACGGTGCGGCATCGTTGGATTAAGTTACTGTGAGGCTTCAGGTCGCGTCACTTTCAGGCGCTGATTGGACCCGCTGTGGCGATCGTATCTTGAAATGTTTGCGTTGGTGGAATCACGAGGATTTTAGCTTTGGGACGGTGGATCGTGTGAGCATGAAGTTAACGTTTTTGTCGGTGGAGTCCGGTGGCCTTAATGGTCTTTCACAAAAACACGGGAGAATAAAGTCCAGGTTGATAAATAGCGAAGTTCCCTTTAAGAGCGCTGACCTCTGCCGTCTGTCCAGATGAGTGGTCGCGGCCGATCTTCGGTTTGACGTCCAACTACAAGGGGATGACGAGAGAGGAGCGCCAGCAGAGAGACCTGGACCAGCAGATGCCTCAGAGACGGAGACTAAGGTAGGTCAACCACTCCTGATCCATGACATTTACCCTCTGCTGCCCCCCCCCCCCCCCCCCCGACCTCCCTGACCTCCCCTGACCTCCCTGACCTCCCCTGACCTCCCTGACCCAGGTCTCCAAACCAACATCTGTTCTGACTGCTGATGTTCCCACAGCTGCTTCCCTTCCTCTCTCTCTCCTCTTCTTCACTTCTTTCTTCCACTCCTCCTCTTCACCCCCCCCCCCCCCCCAGTCAACCTCAGAAGGTCGATAGGGCGGAGGAACCGGATGTCTTCTCTCCACCAATCAGGTTCAGTCACAAAATTGCATGGTTGCACTGCAAGTCCCGCCTCCTTCATGATTTGCTTGAAAGTGCTTCTGGATCCTGTGGGAGGAGTCTCACGCTGAGAGCGGCAGGCTGACTCCGCCCCCACATCCAGCGCCGTCTGCAGGACCTTCCTCTACTGTCACGTCTCTGATGTCCGAGCCGTTCGGTGTTGACGGCACTAACGATCAGCTGACTAACTGCTGTGAGGTGGAGAATGTTAATAACAGCATGGAGGCTCTGCTGCTGGTGTTTCTGCTCGGGTTCAGGTTCTCCTGCACGTCAGTAGAGTTGGGTATCGTTTTATTCTTATACAGCCTTCGTCACGTCGGAGCTGCTTCCTCTCTCGCACCGAACCTCCTGACTGCAGCTGCTGCAGTTTGTTAGTGAAGCTGAGCCAAACTTTGGAGCTTTTGCTGCGGTCCGCCACGGTCCAGGACCGGAACCAGAAGGACTCTCTTCTTCACGCTTTGTTGACGGAACACGTGAGGTGACGTTAGGTCGGCGTAGCGGCTGCTGGCAGATCAGAGACACTTTGACGGACGGTAAAAGTCTGCAGTTCAGTCAGGAGCTGAGATATGCAGGAAGTCGGGAACCGAGGAGCAGGATCCAAACGCACGAGTCTTGGAGATTTGGTTCTCGATACCCAACCCTAGTCCCGTCCTGGCGCCTGCGTTCACTCACTTCCTGCTAATTCATCTCTCTCCTTCCTGTCTGTCTGCAGCTCGGGGGGCCAGACGCCTCGGAGGGACCTGGAGAAACAGCTGACCGGAGAGGAGAAGTAAGCTTCTCTTTTAGATTTTACAGACTCTGGACGTCAAAGTGGGCGTGTGCTCAAGCGTTAACCATAACCTCCTCCCTGCAGAGCTCTGCGACCCGGCGACCCCGGGTTCTGCGCCAGGGCTCGAGTGCCGATGCCCTCCAACAAAGACTACGTCGTCCGACCCAAATGGAACGTGGAGATGGAGTCCAGCAGGGTGAGTACACGCAGTCTTCACGCCAGAGTCGTAGTCGTGTGGATGGAGCCTTAATGTGGAGTTTATTATTTAGAGGGGCCATCAGGGGCCCACGGGTAGAGAAGCAGCTGGTAATGTGTGCCTGAAAAGAAATTAACATCTTCAGAAATACAGAAATTCTCCTTGTTGCCGTCATTTAACTGTTTAGCTTTTAATTATGTAACTTCTTAAATGCAGCAAACAGCTGGTGGTTAATTAATCTAATAAAGTTCAGGTTACTTTATTGTTATTAATCAACATTTCAGATTTGGGTTGTTACCCCACAGGGGGGCAGAACACATGCTGAGGGTAGCTGTGTGATTCTAGCATGGAAGTCTGTCTGTGCACAGGAAGTGAGGTCATTTCAGCTTAGCTGTGATTGGTCCTGTGTAGAGCGGCTATAAGAAAGGCCTGAGCCGGCTGGAGAAGCACAAGCGCCGCTTCGCCGAGCAGAGGAAAATGCACCGCCCGCAGGGAGCTGTGAAGATCAGCATCGAGGGCAACAGAATGCCCCTGTAGTACCTGCTGCCGGCCTGAGGGGGGCAGTAAGTCCTGCTGCATGGTGTGACAGCGTGCAGTGCTGCTACAGACCTGCAGAGTTCCCCACAGACACGATGCTGTCTGTAGGAAACCTGTCAGACCCCCGACTCTCCTCTGAGACCCCTGACTCTCCGCTGAGACCCCTGACTCGATCCCTGACTCTCCGCTGAGACCCCTGACTCTCCGCTGAGACCCCTGACTCGATCCCTGACTCTCCGCTGAGACCCCTGACTCGATCCCTGACTCTCTCCTGAGACCCCTGACTCTCTCCTGAGACCCCTGACTCTCTCCTGAGACCCCTGACTCTCCGCTGAGACCCCTGACTCGATCCCTGACTCTCTCCTGAGACCCCTGACTCTCTCCTGAGACCCCTGACTCTCTCCTGAGACCCCTGACTCTCTCCTGAGACCCCTGACTCTCTCCTGAGACCCCTGACTCTCTCCTGAGACCCCTGACTCTCCTCTGAGACCCCTGACTCGACCCCTGACTCTCCTGAGACCCCTGACTCTCCTCTGAGACCCCCGACTCGATCCCTGACTCTCCTCTGAGACCCCCGACTCGATCCCTGACTCTCCGCTGAGACCCCCGACTCGATCCCTGACTCTCCGCTGAGACCCCCGACTCGATCCCTGACTCTCCGCTGAGACCCCCGACTCGATCCCTGACTCTCCTCTGAGACCCCCGACTCGATCCCTGACTCTCCGCTGAGACCCCTGACTCTCCTGAGACCCCTGACTCTCCGCTGAGACCCCCGACTCGATCCCTGACTCTCCTCTGAGACCCCTGACTCTCCTCTGAGACCCCTGACTCTCCGCTGAGACCCCTGACTCTCCGCTGAGACCCCCGACTCGATCCCTGACTCTCCTCTGAGACCCCTGACTCTCCTCTGAGACCCCTGACTCTCCGCTGAGACCCCTGACTCTCCGCTGAGACCCCTGACTCTCCGCTGAGACCCCTGACTCGATCCCTGACTCTCCGCTGAGACCGCTGACTCGATCCCTGACTCTCCTCTGAGACCCCTGACTCGATCCCTGACTCTCCGCTGAGACCCCTGACTCTCCTCTGAGACCCCCGACTCGATCCCTGACTCTCCGCTGAGACCGCTGACTCGATCCCTGACTCTCCTCTGAGACCCCTGACTCGATCCCTGACTCTCCGCTGAGACCGCTGACTCGATCCCTGACTCTCCTCTGAGACCCCTGACTCGATCCCTGACTCTCCGCTGAGACCCCTGACTCTCCTCTGAGACCCCCGACTCGATCCCTGACTCTCCGCTGAGACCGCTGACTCGATCCCTGACTCTCCTCTGAGACCCCTGACTCGATCCCTGACTCTCCGCTGAGACCCCTGACTCTCCTCTGAGACCCCCGACTCGATCCCTGACTCTCCGCTGAGACCGCTGAGACCCCTGACTCTCCGCTGAGACCCCCGACTCGACCCCTGACTCTCCGCTGAGACCCCTGACTCGACCCCTGAGACCCCTGACTCGACCCCTGACTCCCCCCTCACCTGGTGCATGAGTCTGTAACATGGACTCGGTATATTTCTGCTGTTTCTATCGTCCTGACAAAAAGGAAAACGGTCTCTGGTGTCTCACAGCAACATAAACCTCCTTTAATGAACGGATCCGTTGCTCAGATTCGATCCGGTACCTGAAAAAGCGTGATGAGACACGAGACACATGGGCGACGTCTACCGTGAAACATCGTGATGGACGATGTCATCGGGCGCGCGCACCTTATGTGCATGTGTTCTCGCACAGATTTCACTCGGTACCTGAGGTGCAGGCGGGTGAGTGTGTCGGACTGTGGGGAGAAGAGAACGCCGAGGCAGGTGCAAAGCAAACAATAAGAAGAATGTTCGTGGTCAATAAAAGCTGCTTTCACAGGGTGGAAAAATGTGAAAATTTGAGATATGTTTTGCAATCACGATGCCGGCTCAACGTCATGATGCCTGTCAGCCATCGTCTATCGGCCCAACCCTAATGACACATCAGCTAAAGTCTTCTCATTAGTTCTGTAATGTTTGTGTGTTATTAGAAAATCCTTTTTAAAGGGTTAAATGTGTCCGAGCCTCCTTGAACATGCATCCTGTTTTACTGTGAAGTTTCTGTGTCTGTTCCTGCAGCTTCCTGTTTTACTGTTAAGTTTCTGTGTGTATCCTTGCAGGGTCCGATGAAGAAGGGGATGTCCCGCGTCGATAAACAGATGCGTAGAATCGCAGACATCCGCCGCCTGACGAAACCGGGTCACGCTGTTAAAATCAGCGTGGAAGGAAACCGGATGCCGCTCTGATTTTAACCTCCGTAGGATTTATTCACTTTTTTTCTTTTTAATGTGTTGTGCCTGAACACAATCCCCCCCCCCCCCCCCTCCCTCCTCAGGTCTGTAAATCACGTGACATCTGCTGTAAACTCATCTGGTCTTTGGACACAAAATATAAAATCTTCTCCAAAATGATCCATTAAATAAAAGCTAACTGTTTTCAGCATTCAGGCTATGTTAACTTTATTTTAATATTATCTCCCAATTTATGTTAGCAGTTAGCTGCATAAACCACCATGTTAACTAAAGTTAGCATTACAATAGCTTCAACTCCATAATATTAGCTAATGTCAGACAGCTGCATTAGCTATCTCTTCAACTAGCAAGGCCTGTGATGAACTTATGTTAGCAGCTACATTAGCACCAGCTCCAAACCAGCTGGATCCTCAGTGTCAGCTAATGTTAGCACTAGCTTTACCTCAAAGCCAGCTAATTAGCATTCATGTTTATATCCCAAATCTATAATATTAGCTAATGTTAGCAGTCAGATGACTTGGTGGTAAAGCTAATGTAACTAAGTCAATAACATTAGCTAATGTTAGCAGTCAGATGACTTGGTGGTAAAGCTAATGTAACTAAGTCAATAACATTAGCTAATGTTAGCAGTCAGCTACATGTTAGCACTATGTTTTACCTCCAAGCCAGTTAATTAGCATTCATGTTTATATCCCAAATTCATAACATTAGCTAATGTTAGCAGTCAGATACATATGCTAAATCTCAAACTAGCAAGGTCCATAAGATGAACTTATGTTAGCAGCTACATTAGCACCAGCTCCAAACCAGCTGGATCCTCAGTGTCAGCTAATGTTAGCACTAGCTTTACCTCAAAGCCAGCTAATTAGCATTCATGTTTATATCCCAAATCTATAATATTAGCTAATGTTAGCAGTCAGATGACTTGGTGGGAAAGCTAATGTAACTAAGTCAATAACATTAGCTAATGTTAGCTGTTGGCTACATAAACAGGAACAGTTCGTAACGCAGCCCGCTTCAGGATCATTTTGGTGACATTTTACAGTTTTTGTCCAAAATATTTACTAATTTTCTGATACTGGATTTAAGAACAAACTCTTTCCCCGTCGCCCTCTTTGCCTCTGAATGTGAAGATGTTTTGCTAATAGGCTCGCCAGACCTCCTCCTCAGTCCATTTTGTCCCCTCTCTGCTCCCGTAGCGGCTGTACAGAAGTATGTAAAGTGAGTTCACGCCGGCAACACTGCGACTCTGATCCCAGATGTGGTTCAGAGTCGGTGTGTTGATTGTGTGTTTAGCCCGTCTGTTTGCAATGGATCAGATACTTTTCTTAATAAAGACTCAACAGAAACTCACCTGTGCTCTCTGAACTCTTCTTTTACACCTGCAGGAAGTTCACACCAAAAAGCCCAAACACTGTGTTTAGGATCAACTTGCATCCGATCAGGTCCATATTATACGTCAGGCTTTCAACTGTCCGTGTGGGGGCGCCCCCACACGATCGGGCTAGAGGATAAACGAGTTGATTGATGGATTATTAAAGTTCAGATTCCTTTTCTGCCTATTTTATTTTCTATTTCATAATTTCAGTCATTTAGTCTTGCTTCTAACTTAATCTGAGAGACCGTTCAGAAAAAAATAGTTGAACAAACGAGTGTTTTGTTCCTGTTTGAATTGAGTCCTGAATTACACACGTTTTTCAGTTTAAAAGATAATTCAAGTCAAAGTCGCAGTTTGTCTTAAAGTAAAGTAAAGTGTCTTGGTAAAGTAACATTTAGGTTTTGTGTGAAACCGCTCAATGAACTACATCTGTCGTCTCACAAAATACACATCACCAACATGTTAGCGCTGTAATGCTAAGCTAACGTTCACTGCTTGCTTGCTACTAGCTAGGAAGCTTAGCAATTTCCCACGCAGAGGTGTGTCTCACCTGATGTTTAATGCAACCTCTCCTGGTCCTTTCATCACAGCAGCTGCACATGGAAACTCTTTGACGTTAGCCACTGTGAAGAAGTTGCTTTGTGTCAGTTAGCACAGACTGAAAAAACAGTTTTAAACTCTTTTTTTTTTTTTTTTTTTTTTTTAAATTTTGCTTCAGTGACTTCTTCAGTTATTGAGAGAAACAGACGTCACATTTGACACTTGTGGTCTTTTATTTCAACTGTTTTAAGACAAACTGCGACTTTCTTAAATTATCTTTTAAGCTAACGAACATTGTGCATCATTTAGAAAACAATTCAAACGGGATCTAAACATTAGTTGTCTCTAGCCTTTCACGAAACTCTCTACTGCCTAATTTACTTGTCTTTAAGAAATTCAGCCGTCGCTTGTAGTTTATCACAGTCCCTACCTGAGGCACGCCAGGTCCGGGCTCTGTCCCAATATGTTGGAAGCCTTTTTTATGCTAAACAGATATCGTTGTCTGATGTATCATTTGAACTCTAGTTGGTCTAAATGTATGTCGGCCTAAATGCAGCGTTTGAACCTCCGTGTCTTAAACTGATGGATGCCGTCAGAACAAAACAGCGTTTCAGCACAGTGATCGTTAACTCTTTATTGTGCACAATTAAATTTAAGGCAGTAAGAAGCATTTAAAAACAGACAGACTGAACATGGACAGGAACAAAGTCACATCACTCTCTCGCTGACGAGGAAAGCGTCTCCACTGCACCGGCTGTCGTACTGGACTCAGGCAGCCTTTAAATCTCAGTTATGGTTCGTGCCGTACAGTGAGATTGAGCTGATTTTAAAGACTGCTGACAGGAACATTTTGGCGACCATTATCGGTGTGTCTGCACACAGGGAACCCATTCTCACTCCCGACTCATCATATATGGACGCTTGGTCAAGACCCTTTGGCGTCAGTTTGTAACGCACTGGGAAGCCCTTTAGCGCCATGGTTCAGTGCTAAAGGTAGGCTTAGTATAAATCACTCAGAGTCCGACGAGACCGCTGTTTGTTTCCGGTGTGAAACAAAAAGTCAACATTGATTCTTTGTAGTTATGCTATTTTAACCCAAACCACCATCCCAACCAAGTACTTTTGGTGCCTAAATCTAACCAAATTGCAACATTTCACAACATTAACCACTAGTTTTATTTTGAAAGTCTAACCAGACGTTGCATATTTGTTATTGCTAACTTGACAGCAGAGCTCTACACGCCAAAGGGTAGCCAGGGCGTTAGAAAACGACGCCAAGGGGAGTTGACAAAGTGTCCATGTGTGACGAGTTGGCAGTTAGAACATGTTGGAGTGAGATGTTAAGATTGATATCAGTCTCATGTCTGGAGTCAGGATGTGCTTAGCTTAGCTTAGCATAAACCCTGGAAACAGCTAGCCTGGCTCTGTCCAAAGTTTAAACAAGCACTAGTTTTTCGCCATTTTTCTGTCACTACTTTTCATGAAGGAACGCGGCGTCTCCATTCTTACTTTCACATGTAAAAGATGTAAAAATTGTTTTTCACATTACTGTTAATTTAAGGATTAAACAAATTAGACAACATGTTAATCACTGAGCTTTAGCGGTCTTGGTAGGTGTGTGTTTTAGGCTAGCTGTTCCCCCCCATATCTAGTCTTCATGCTAAGCTAGGCTAATGCTGTGTTCCATTTACCTCAGAAGTCGGAGCTGGTAACGACGTCTGACCTGAGTTGACGGTGTTCCAGTTAACAAGTCGGAACACCTCGCTCGCCCAGCAGCTGTTTACAGCTAGCTAGGTTAGCTATTGTTACGCCGGTTGATTATTGTTGTTATTATTTACTAAATGCTGCAGCAACACGTCCACAGGCAGCAGCTGGACGGCACTTTGTGTACGAAAGACAAATCACGAAGTCGGGGTATGGCGGTTCTCCTCACTTCCCAAGTCGAAAATCCGACTTAAGGCAGCGTTCCCTTTGAAATTTCCGACTTTCAACTCGGAAATTCAAATGGAACAAACCATAACCACATCCTCACTCAGCTGACTTGAGACTGATAGCAGTTTAGCAAAGGAGGTGGTCAGTTTTTTCATCCAACCCCAGCAGAGGAAAGAGACAGGTGGTGTGATGTCATGAGACCTCTAAGTTATTTTCTGCGTTGACCAGCCTTCTTTTTCCACTGATTCAAAGTTTATAGGTGTGTTTTCCATTCAAACTTTTAGATGCAGTTCCTGTAACAGCCACTAGATGCTGCTCAAAGAAAACTGATGAAATTAAAGTTTATGGGGGAAATGATTTCTCTTGTCTCTCTCTCACTGTCTTCGACATTAAACCGTGATGGTGGCCGCTTGGTAATATTAAGCCGGTCGGTCCAGCTCTTCTTCGGACGTACCGGTGCAGTGGAAACGTCGCTCAGCGTGTCATCCTGCTGAAAACAGACCTGCTGCCCTGCTGGAAAATAACAGTCAAGTCGTGTCAAGTGTTCAGTTTCGGCGTCGAGGCAGCAGACGCCTCCGGTCAGACTCTCAGGAGGGGAGAGGCGGGGTGATGATGCATTCAGGTGATGCCCTAAAAACGGCAAGAAACATCTGTAGCAGCAGGCAAAAATACTAGTTTGACCAAAACTGAAAGTCTGTTCCATATTTGTGAAATTTAATTTGTAAATAATAGGATTCATTTTCTCAGTCAGAGTGAAATTTAAAAGAAGTTTTAAAAAACTTGATGAGACAAAACATCCAGAACATTCGTCCATTTGTCTCCTCTCCCCACAACGCCCTGATGTGCAAACCAAGTTAAATGTTGATTTAAAGAACAGTCGTCACACGTCATGTCAGTTTCAAAGTAAATTCAGAAGCACAAAAAAACAAAACAGTGCTAGAGTCTGACGGGAGCTAACTGCTAACACGCAAGCTAGCTGGAAAATGCTAGCACTTTGTGTTAAAGAGGTCATGTTCGGCTCACTTTCAGTTTCATAATTGTAGGGGTTGTACCAGAACAGGTTTACATGGTTTAATTTTCAAAAAACACCATATTTCTGTCAGACTGAACATTGCTGCAGCTCCTCTTTTCACCTTGTGTGTTGTTTTAGCTAGTTTAGTTTAGTTATTAATCTGTCACATGTTTATCTTTCATTATGTTTTATAACCAAAACTCAGAATATGACCTCTTTAAGACAAAATGACACTAAAATTATGATTTATATCTGGAACAATCTGTTTAAAGAGCAGAGTTCTGAGTGCTCGACAGGTTTTGATGCTGTGGGTGAATTTCAGTTGAGATTTGATCAAATTGTACTTAAAAAGGCGCAAAATACGATCCAGTTTTCATTTCTGAAATACATTTTCAAATTTACCTAACTGCAAATCAAAACCTGTTTGTTCAGGACAGAAGTATGTTCATGAATCCCGATATGTTAAGTTAAACTGTAATCTTCTGCCACAGTCTGTTCGTCTGTTCACGGGAGGATTTAGAATAGTTTTTTCAAATGAGACTAAAATCTGTTTCGGGTTTTCTATTAAGACTTTCTGCTTCTTTGGACACAAACATAAAATCTAATCAGTAAGAATCGATCAAACCACGTGTGTCACGAAAAAACAAAACGGTCACTGCTTTGGTCCTGACCTCTCAGACACGTGATACATTTACAGAAGCAGCACCTGAATGCACCATCATTAAACATTCATCGCTGGGCAGGGGTGGGTGGGGGTGTCCAGGTGAAGGAGGATTGATTGACAAGTGATTGGCAGGTGGTGGGCGTGGCTGAGCAGGTGATTGGCTGTGTTTCATGCATCTGTGGTGATTCCTCTGTAGAGAGAAAAAGTCGAGTGAGGCGTTAAGAGAGAATTTAAAAGGTTCAGTGAACGTCAGTGGCCTGCAGCACCGTACCTGTCCAGAGGAGGGAGCCGTTAAGAGGGGTCGGGCTGTCGGAGGGAGGGGGCGTGGTCTATCCTCGACTGTTTGGTAGACGACTCATTCCAATCCTGTCGATGGGAGGCGGATTGACTCGTCGCCGTGGCAACTCAACTGTCTTGCTGCAAACACACAAAGGAAGACGATAAGGTGAACAAGGCGACGACTGCTGCGGTCAAATCAACTTTACTAAGGAATCAACCCGTTCTCACTCCCCAACTCGTCACATGTGGACACATGGTCGAGACCCATCGGCGTCAGTTTGTAACACACTGGGGATCCCTGTTGCGTCAGTTTGTGACGGTAAAGGCAGGTATATGATATTTAACAGAAAAGACTGAGTAAGGAGGTGGTTGGTGTGGATGGAGGGCCAGAACCCCGACTTTGAACCATGAGACCGGGGTTCGTGTCCAGTGTGAAACAAAAAGTCAACATTAATTATTTTTATTTGAGTTACGTGAGTTACTTAAATTCCGTAAGTAACGCAAGTGACGTTAGTTAACTTAAGTGTTAACTGGTGTATGTAGTTATTTTAACCCAAACCAGGATCTTTTCCGAACCTAAACCAAGTAGTTTTGTTGCCTAAATCTAACCAAACTGCAACTTTTCACAACTTTAATAACGTGCCGTTTCAAAATGGCAATGTTTTGAAACACTAGCGTTTTATTTTGAAAGTGTAAACAGACGTTGCATATTTATTATTTCTAACTTTACAGAACTTTGCATATTTGTTGTTGCTAACTTTACCAGAAGTTGCATATTTTTTGTTGCTAACTTTAGGGGACGTTGCATATTTGTTGTTGCTTACTGTACCGGAAGTTGCATATTTGTTGTTGCTTACTTTACCAGAAGTTGCATATTTGTTGTTGCTAACTTTACCAGAAGTTGCATATTTTTTGTTTCTTACTTTAGGGGACGTTGCATATTTGTTGTTGCTTACTTTACCAGAAGTTGCATATTTGTTGTTGCTTACTTTAGGGGACGTTGCATATTTGTTGTTGCTTACTTTACCAGAAGTTGCATATTTGTTGTTGCTAACTTTACCAGAAGTTGCATATTTTTTGTTACTAACTTTAGGGGACGTTGCATATGTGTTGTTGCTTACTGTACCGGAAGTTGCATATTTGTTGTTGCTTACTTTAACAAACTTGTATATTTGTTGTTGCTTACTTTACCAGAAGTTGCATATTTGTTGTTGCTTACTTTAACAAACTTGTATATTTGTTGTTGCTTACTTTACCAGAAGTTGCATATTTGTTGTTGCTAACTTTACCAGAAGTTGCATATTTTTTGTTGCTTACTTTACGGGATGTTGCATATTTGTTATTGCTAACTTTACCAGAAGTTGCATATTTTTTGTTGCTTACTTTAGGGGACATTGCATATTTGTTGTTGCTTACTTTACCGGAAGTTGCATATTTGTTGTTGCTAACTTTACCAGAAGTTGCATATTTTTTGTTGCTAACTTTAGGGGACGTTGCATATTTGTTGTTGCTTACTGTACCGGAAGTTGCATATTTGTTGTTGCTTACTTTACCGGACATTGCATAGTTGCATATTTTTTGTTGCTTACTTTAGGGGACATTGCATATTTGTTGTTGCTTACTTTACCAGAAGTTGCATATTTGTTGTTGCTAACTTTACCAGAAGTTGCATATTTTTGTTGCTAACTTTAGGGGAAGTTGCATATTTGGTGTTGCTTACTTTACCAAACTTCTATTTGTTGTTGCTAACTTTACCAGAAGTTGCATATTTGTTGTTGCTTACTTTACCGGAAGTTGCATATTTGTTGTTGCTAACTTTACCGGACATTGCATATTTGTTGTTGCTTACTGTACCGGAAGTTGCATATTTGGTGTTGCTTACTTTACCAAACTTCTATATTTGTTGTTGCTAACTTTACCAGAAGTTGCATATTTGTTGTTGCTTACTGTACTGGAAGTTGCATATTTGGTGTTGCTTACTTTACCAAACTTCTATATTTGTTGTTGCTAACTTTACCAGAAGTTGCATATTTGTTGTTGCTTACTGTACCGGAAGTTGCATATTTGGTGTTGCTTACTTTACCAAACTTCTATATTTGTTGTTGCTAACTTTACCGGAAGTTGCATATTTGTTGTTGCTAACTTTACCGGACATTGCATATTTGTTGTTGCTTACTGTACCGGAAGTTGCATATTTGGTGTTGCTAACTTTACCAAACTTCTATATTTGTTGTTGCTAACTTTACCAGAAGTTGCATATTTGTTGTTGCTAACTTTACCAGAAGTTGCATATTTGTTGTTGTTTACTTTAGGGGACATTGCATATTTGTTGTTGCTTACTTTACCAGAAGTTGCATATTTTTTGTTGCTAACTTTAGGGGAAGTTGCATATTTGGTGTTGCTTACTTTACCAAACTTCTATATTTGTTGTTGCTAACTTTACCAGAAGTTGCATATTTGTTGTTGCTTACTTTACCGGAAGTTGCATATTTGTTGTTGCTAACTTTACCGGACATTGCATATTTGTTGTTGCTTACTGTACCGGAAGTTGCATATTTGGTGTTGCTTACTTTACCAAACTTCTATATTTGTTGTTGCTAACTTTACCGGAAGTTGCATATTTGTTGTTGCTTACTGTATTGGAAGTTGCATATTTGGTGTTGCTTACTTTACCAAACTTCTATATTTGTTGTTGCTAACTTTACCAGAAGTTGCATATTTGTTGTTGCTTACTTTACCGGAAGTTGCATATTTGTTGTTGCTAACTTTACCAGAAGTTGCATATTTGTTGTTGCTTACTTTACCGGAAGTTGCATATTTGTTGTTGCTAACTTTACCAGAAGTTGCATATTTGTTGTTGCTTACTTTACCGGAAGTTGCATATTTGTTGTTGCTAACTTTACCGGACATTGCATATTTGTTGTTGCTTACTGTACCGGAAGTTGCATATTTTTGTTGCTTACTTTAGGGGACATTGCATATTTGTTGTTGCTTACTTTACCAGAAGTTGCATATTTGTTGTTGCTAACTTTACCAGAAGTTGCATATTTTTGTTGCTAACTTTAGGGGAAGTTGCATATTTGGTGTTGCTTACTTTACCAAACTTCTATATTTGTTGTTGCTAACTTTACCAGAAGTTGCATATTTGTTGTTGCTTACTTTACCGGAAGTTGCATATTTGTTGTTGCTAACTTTACCGGACATTGCATATTTGTTGTTGCTTACTGTACCGGAAGTTGCATATTTGGTGTTGCTTACTTTACCAAACTTCTATATTTGTTGTTGCTAACTTTACCAGAAGTTGCATATTTGTTGTTGCTTACTGTACTGGAAGTTGCATATTTGGTGTTGCTTACTTTACCAAACTTCTATATTTGTTGTTGCTAACTTTACCAGAAGTTGCATATTTGTTGTTGCTTACTGTACCGGAAGTTGCATATTTGGTGTTGCTTACTTTACCAAACTTCTATATTTGTTGTTGCTAACTTTACCGGAAGTTGCATATTTGTTGTTGCTAACTTTACCGGACATTGCATATTTGTTGTTGCTTACTGTACCGGAAGTTGCATATTTGGTGTTGCTTACTTTACCAAACTTCTATATTTGTTGTTGCTAACTTTACCAGAAGTTGCATATTTGTTGTTGCTAACTTTACCAGAAGTTGCATATTTGTTGTTGTTTACTTTAGGGGACATTGCATATTTGTTGTTGCTTACTTTACCAGAAGTTGCATATTTTTTGTTGCTAACTTTAGGGGAAGTTGCATATTTGGTGTTGCTTACTTTACCAAACTTCTATATTTGTTGTTGCTAACTTTACCAGAAGTTGCATATTTGTTGTTGCTTACTTTACCGGAAGTTGCATATTTGTTGTTGCTAACTTTACCGGACATTGCATATTTGTTGTTGCTTACTGTACCGGAAGTTGCATATTTGGTGTTGCTTACTTTACCAAACTTCTATATTTGTTGTTGCTAACTTTACCGGAAGTTGCATATTTGTTGTTGCTTACTGTATTGGAAGTTGCATATTTGGTGTTGCTTACTTTACCAAACTTCTATATTTGTTGTTGCTAACTTTACCAGAAGTTGCATATTTGTTGTTGCTTACTTTACCGGAAGTTGCATATTTGTTGTTGCTAACTTTACCAGAAGTTGCATATTTGTTGTTGCTTACTTTACCGGAAGTTGCATATTTGTTGTTGCTAACTTTACCAGAAGTTGCATATTTGTTGTTGCTTACTTTACCGGAAGTTGCATATTTGTTGTTGCTAACTTTACCGGACATTGCATATTTGTTGTTGCTTACTGTACCGGAAGTTGCATATTTGGTGTTGCTTACTTTACCAAACTTCTATATTTGTTGTTGCTAACTTTACCGGAAGTTGCATATTTGTTGTTGCTAACTTTACCGGACATTGCATATTTGTTGTTGCTTACTGTACCGGAAGTTGCATATTTGGTGTTGCTTACTTTACCAAACTTCTATATTTGTTGTTGCTAACTTTACCAGAAGTTGCATATTTGTTGTTGCTAACTTTACCAGAAGTTGCATATTTGTTGTTGTTTACTTTAGGGGACATTGCATATTTGTTGTTGCTTACTTTACCAGAAGTTGCATATTTTTTGTTGCTAACTTTACCGGAAGTTGCATATTTGTTGTTGCTTACTGTACCGGAAGTTGCATATTTGTTGTTGCTTACTTTACCAGCAGTTGCATATTTGTTGTTGCTTACTTTACCGGAAGTTGCATATTTGTTGTTGCTAACTTTACCGGACATTGCATATTTGTTGTTGCTTACTGTACCGGAAGTTGCATATTTGGTGTTGCTTACTTTACCAAACTTCTATATTTGTTGTTGCTAACTTTACCGGAAGTTGCATATTTGTTGTTGCTTACTTTACCGGAAGTTGCATATTTGGTGTTGCTTACTTTACCAAACTTCTATATTTGTTGTTGCTAACTTTACCAGAAGTTGCATATTTGTTGTTGCTAACTTTACCAGAAGTTGCATATTTGTTGTTGCTAACTTTACCAGAAGTTACATATTTGTTGTTGTTTACTTTAGGGGACATTGCATATTTGTTGTTGCTTACTTTACCAGAAGTTGCATATTTGTTGTTGCTAACTTTACCAGAAGTTACATATTTGTTGTTGTTTACTTTAGGGGACATTGCATATTTGTTGTTGCTTACTTTACCGGAAGTTGCATATTTGTTGTTGCTTACTTTACCGGAAGTTGCATATTTGTTGTTGCTTACTGTACTGGAAGTTGCATATTTGGTGTTGCTTACTTTACCAAACTTCTATATTTGTTGTTGCTAACTTTACCAGAAGTTGCATATTTGTTGTTGCTTACTTTATGGGACATTGCATATTTGTTGTTGCTAACTTTACCAGAAGTTGCATATTTGTTGTTGCTAACTTTACCAGAAGTTGCATATTTGTTGTTGCTAACTTGTTGCATTTTTTTGTTTGCTAAGCATTGCAAAGTTGTTTAACCTAACAAAGTTGTTTTTGTTGCCTAAAACTAACCCAGGGTTAGGTGCTTAGGTTTAGGCAAGAAAGGAGGTGAAATTATGAAATTATCTGTTCGGAGCCAGTTGGTATAAAATCCCAAATTTGCAGTTAATCAAGAAAGCAATTGACAAGTGGTGAACGTGTAGGTTTTCTGGTCCCCAGGTCAGTTGGTAATCCAGATGAGGTAGTTACTTCACTCCAAACCGACATACTGTAAAATCAACCTGGCTGGTTCCATTATTAATGAATTTAATGAGAAACGGCCCAGTTTGTTAGAAGACAGTGGAACCCTCAGAGGAACGTCGTACCAAACACTCACAGGGTTCTCACAGCTCGGGTCGTCCTACCTCTGCTTGTTTGTTGCTTGTTTGGTTTCCATGGAGCTGATCGACAGACGGTCCAGCGGGGCGTTGTTGCCAGGGAAACTCCTCTTCCTCTTTGGCTCCATGACATCATTCTCCAGCGGCGCCAGGTCATCCAGTCGAAGCAGCTTTGCCGTTAGCTCCTCCCCGGTCTTCACCACTCGGGGACGAAGCCGAAGAGCCGCCAGAGACCTGGACACGGGCCAGTCTACACGCTGGGACACCTGGACAGGATAAAGATATGTACAAAATTTTCTAATCCATAATTGTTCCATCTTAACTTTTAAGCCAACATGAAGAAGAAGTTCTCCGAAAAATTTAAATGTGAATATCTCCAACCCCTTTCAGTAAAGGTGGGCTAGGGCTACGTACCTAAGCAGAGGATTAAGAAAGGATAGGTCTATGCACTGAAAGAGTTAAAGATCCTGTGCTCAGATAGGATGAAAGGCTGGGATATGTCTATGTACTGACACACAGGCTTGGTCTATGAACAGGAGCAGTCAGGATGTGTTTATACAGTCGAGATGTCTATGGTCTATGTTTTGATAGACAGGAGAATTGACCTCATGTCAAAAGTTTTCTTAAAAGTTAACGTATAAAATATGAAATCCTTCACAGTGTAAAAGCGTTAAACCAGATGAGTCAGAAGTGTTTTCATTGTTGACTCCTCAGGGGGGAAAGTAATACAGAAAAGTAACTTAGTAAACCCAGTACTAAGTAATGTGATATTACTTTTTAAGTAGTAATAAGTAAAAAGTATTTAATTATTTTAATTAATTATTTAGGTTTTGTTATTATAATTGTGTAGACAGGAAGTTAAAAGGCAGAATGTAACAGAGCAGTGCTTCACTGTTGCTGGGAAACATGAGCAGGATAGAGATGAAACACACATGGAGGAGTCAGACCTGAAGTCCACCGCTCCGATCTGAGAGCCTCCAGCTTCTCCTCCATATTTTATTTTCTATAAGGGAGTCTCCGTATAGAAAATATTGACCTCAGCAGAGGAGGGCCACCCTGCTCTGTGTCTCCACCTCGTCTGGTGTTTTCACACGTCAGGACTCCATGTTGCGAGTCGTCTCTTACATCACCGCCCTGACAGCGCGCAGGTTCTGACTTCCTGTCCGCCTGCGATCACATCTCATCCAGACTAAACACAAAACACCTTCAGGTTCGTCTCCCTGCAGCTGTGTTGGCCTTCGCTCTGATCTTACATCATCTGATATCAGCACAGGGGCCCCCGGGAGGAGAGGCCGTTTGTTTTGGCCCTCGGGATGATTTGATAAGACGCCACGTGATCAGCTGCTTCACCGTCTGATCCGGGACGTAGGATCCGTCCCGCAGACTACAGACGCTCACAACATGTCACATTTTAATCAGCTATTTGTGTAAAAGTACTAATACCACAGAGTGGAAACACAAAAGTAAACTTTTACGTTTTTACTTTTATCTTTTACTAAAAGTTGAAGTACTCATTATTCAGAATAATATTTATGAAACAACTGGATGATAAATATTGATGGATTCATGTGTTCATCCCTTTAATGTTGCAGCTGTTCATTTTAATGAACTTATAATAAAACATCATAATTTATTAGTGAATTATCTTTGGTATTAATATTCTAAATCAGCACGGTAGCTAAAGTTATCAGATAAATGTAGTGCAGTATCTCCCTCTGAGATGTGGTGCAGTAGAAGTAGAAAGTACAGTACAAGTACCTCAAATCTGTACTCAGGTACAGTACTTGAGTAGATGTACCTTTTTAACATTAAAAACTCGGAGCGTGTCACCTGGTAGAATCATGTTTTTTGCTGCCACACCTGCACCACCTTGATGGAGAGTTACCTGCCTGCACCGCCTTGATGGAGAGTTACCTGCCTGCACCGCCTTGATGGAGAGTTACCTGCCTGCACCGCCTTGATGGAGAGTTACCTGCCTGCACCGCCTTGATGGAGAGTTACCTGCCTGCACCGCCTTGATGGAGAGTTACCTGCCTGCACCGCCTTGATGGAGAGTTACCTGCCTGCACCACCTTGATGGAGAGTTACCTGCCTGCACCGCCTTGATGGAGAGTTACCTGCCTGCACCGCCTTGATGGAGAGTTACCTGCCTGCACCACCTTGATGGAGAGTTACCTGCCTGCAGTGTGTGTGTTTGTGTGCTGACCTGTTTGACTCGGAAGCCGTCGACGCTGCCGTGGAGCACAGTGATGGACAGCAGGCAGCAAAACATCAGACAGCCACAGAACTGCATCTGCAACAACAACAACAGGTCACCTTGGTGTCAGTGTCGTTACTACACGACAGTTTACCGTCTCCTCGTTCATAAAATCTGTCGCGGCACTGCTCGTTTTTTATGAATAAGCCAAATATAATATTTCATAAAATCTCAACTATGGATGTCAGACTTTCCCAGCTGCACCTGAACGCAACAGAAGCTTCATTGAAAGGTCAGAGGTCACAGTTGTCTCAGCCTGTATTGTGGTCCCACACTAGATGCAGCACTTTATATCTTAATAATTTGCACTTTACAACGTATATTTGTGTGTGATTTTACTGCAGCACACTCTGAGTTTTTAGTTTCACTACAGAAAGGTTTGAGTATAAAATCATTTTGCCAGTTTTCCAGTGTTTTAAAGAGTTCATACTCTGCTTACTTTCATCTTCATAGTTTCATTTGGAGGTTGTACCAGAACAGGTTTACGTGGTTTCATTTTCAAAAAACCCGAGTGTTAAACGCTCCGTTTCAGCTACAGAGTGAAGCATCTCACTTCTAAAAGGTCTTTGTTGGGAGCTGCACATGCTCAGTACCTAGGTAAGGACTACTAGCCAATCAGAAGCAGAGTAGGGCGGGTCCTGACAAGCAAGGTAGTGTGATCCAAAACGCTGTCAAAACGTAGCAAAACGTTTGTTTCAACGGAAACGGTGGTGCCTTGAACGCACCGTTGTGTTTGTAAGCCTGCTGATTTTTAACACTGCTGTGTTTACAAACTTTAGCAGCTGATTGGGTAAAACCTCTGACACACCCACCAAACAGGGGGACGTGGGCAACGTTTCAAGGAAACAAGTCGTCCAGTCCGAAAACATTTCAAACCGGTGCAAACCGCTTTGAAATGGCTTCACAATCTAGACTGGATGTCGGCGAGCATTATGCTGCGTGTTAGCTCGTGACGCAGAGAGGTTACGGAAGTAAAGGCTGGACTACAATCCAGCTGTGTTCAGTTCAGGAGCAGAGTTTTCTGTGGGAGGTAGGAACTCCCTTTAGGGCTTTTCACTTTCCAAACCTGTTACAAGCACAGAAAAGATTTACAGGAGAGGGGAGAAGCAGAATATGACCTCTTTAAAGTCTTTTTGCAAACACACACACTGCAGGACACTTTTAGCTCAGCTGATGGGTCGATGGTATTGTCCAGCAACATCGGCTAATTTTAGCATTTTCCATCTCTGCAAATAAATGTCTTTTGACCGTCACATGCACGTTCACTGACGTGCACGTGCACGTGCCTGCATTCTCCCCTGACACACACACACACACACACACACAAACAAACACTTGTTGTCTACGTCACACACATTCTTAATGATGCACAAACGTCTGTGCACGCTCACACACGGCTATTCACACCAGTGCTGCTGACATACTGCCGCTGTCATTCATGCACGAGTGAGGATATAACACACACACACACACACACACACACGCAGCAAATTCTTCCATTCACAAAAATACCCCGTGTTTCCTCCCTGCAGCCCAGCAGCACGCTGAACATCACCTTCATGTGCACCTGAACGCAGCGGCGACACTGTGTTACGACCCGCTTGTTTGGAGATTTCTTTTTTGCAAAAACTCTAACTGATATTAAGGGACAATAAAACAAAATAGAATTCCAGGAAATACAATGGCTGACGTTTTAGGGCGCTGTTTCAAAGCTGATGTCTTTTTCTGATGGGATCTCTGATTATAAAAGAATGCATTTTTATAATCAGAGATCACGTCAACACCCTAAAACAACACAAGAGCTAAAACCATGGAAACAAACATTAGCAATCAACCAAAAGCAGAGAGAGAGAGCAGACAGTTTCTGCAGCAGTGGGTTAATCTCACTGTTATTGATCAGTTTGACAGGAAAAACTAAATCAAACACCAGAGAGGAGAAGAGACAGAAAGTTAGAACAGCAACGCACCAGTGCAAAGGGAAAACTCTTCTGGAGCAAAGTACATTTTGCAACGTAACACCTGCAGGAGTCTGAACCTGTGCACACCTGCACCGCACACACACACACACACTCACACACAGAGCGCCGTGCATGTATAAACAGCACACACACCTTCAGTCTGGAGTCGAGTGTGTCCGTCCTGCTGCGTCGTCTCTTCTCTGTGTTTCTGTGTCTTCACATCAGGTTTTATAGCAGCTGCCCAGGAATCTCCTGTCCAATCAGCAGCCTCCGCTACTGTCACATCACTTCCTGTGCTTACCCCCCCCCCTCCCCCCTACTTTCCACTGTTTTTGTCTGACATTTTATCTTTAGCACCATTACCTGTGAATGAAGCCTCCTGGGAGCAGCACTCCTCCTCCTCCTCCTCTTATGCAAGTCAGTCTTTCAAATAAACACATTTATATCTGTAACATCTCCCACTCAGAGCCCTGGACTGTCCAGCTGTGTGTTCGTTGTAACATCAGCCTGAAGCGCCGTCCCTTCTGATGTGTCTGGTGTTGAGCTGGTAGTTTCCTCAGTTGGGAAAATAACAGAGCCAATCAGAACGTTAGCAGGCGTCAGAACGTTAGCAGGCTCTTGTAGGTCGGAGATTTCTTTAAACCATCAAATTAAAAAAAACTTAGAGCAACATAAAGCAGCGAACATGAATACATTCAGTCTGATTATCAGGACATTAAAACGTGCAAACTGTCATTGTAAACCATTAAAAAGTGAAGGTTACATTTTCGTGAAGGTCAAGTCTTCGCCGTAACAGACGGCGTTAGCATTTATACTGTGCGATGGTGTCTGCGTCGGTCTGCAGTTACACCTCCAAAACTCTAGTGGCAGAGTTTCTTCTTCTTTGTCGGTGTCGGCTGCAGTGGCTCTTGTTTGAGTCGGAGCTGATCGATGTTAAATTACTAAAACGCAGAAACAACAGAAAGCATCGGGGGCGTTGGGATGTACGACGCTTGGAACGACTGAGGGAGAAGAAGAAGGAGAAGGACGAGCCGGAAATGTGTAGGATGAAATGAGATGCTACCAAGCCGACCGATCACAGTTCTTGCGGTCTGCGTCGCCGCAACCTGTGGTTCCATTTTGAGGAGGTGTGTGTCGGGCTCGGCCGTGGCCTTTGACATATATTCGACGCAGAAGTATAAACTTGGCTTTAACGTGACATGTCGTCTGAGGAGGCTGGATGTTCTTGATCTCTGCTGATGAACGGGCTGAGAGAGAACTACTGACTTCTGGGTTTAGCGCCGTGCGGCAATGTTCCCCATTTTGTGGATGTATGGTTTGGTATTAAACAAAGTCAGAGCTTTTGTAAATGCTACTCTAAAGTTAATCTAAGTCAAAAACCACACAGGGAAGCTTGAAGCGATTGTTTCCTCACGGAGCGAGTGAGACCTTGAACACGAGCTCAGCGCATCACCCGCAGCTCAGAACAGAACTTTGAGCTTGTAACTTGTAAATAGGGGTGTAGCGGTACATAGCATCACAGCCAGTGCAGAGAAGACCCTCCCTTATTGTTAAGGTCTTCTGTCTGAACACTTGGTTTCTTAGTGAAATACAACCACGGACAAGTCGGTGAGACGACAGCAGCGGGCCGACGTTTCCCAGCAGTCATCGGGTTTGTTTCTGGCAACACGTCAAACTTGTTAACTCACTAATGGTGTCACACGAAGGAGAACGTCACTGCAACAAAACGAGCAGAGTGCAAACGCCTTTCAGCTTTTAAACAGACTTTAGACTCCTGAGCAGGCCTCCAGGCTGGACTGCTCATAGACGGGATAAAATAACCAGAATGCTGCACTGTAATCCATATTATTATATATTTTATTATATTTTATCAGCTATATGTGGTGTTGTTTTGAGAATATGTTATTTAGCAGAGAACTTGTTAGTAGTTTGCAACAGTTTTCATTTCTTTTTTTTCTTTATATAATTTATTTATTATGCTGTAATTTGGAAGTTTACAAAAGTTCATAATAAACCAGCAGCAATTTAATGTTTGCATTTTTTCCCCTCACTGTATCTAAAATAAACCAAACCGTGACTTCAAAACCGAGGTACGTACCGAACCGAGATTTTTGTGTACCGTTACACCCCTAGTAACCAATGGCACCCAATGAAATCACAACTGTCCACGCCAGAACCTCAAGGTGATCTCTGGTAGTTCCAATACCAAGTAATGACATCAATACTGATACTTTTCCAGTATTTTATTTCTAGTTTAATGTGACCCCCCCCTCCCGCTTCTGTATTTACGAGGGAAATAAAGAGCAGGCTGCAGGCCTACCAATTCCAAATAATAGCTGCATAATGACAAGACGTCAAACGTATTCATATTCTCAGAAATACTTCTGATAAAACACACAGTCCAAATGATTGTGTTTAGATGTCGATCCTGGAGCAGGAAACGCTGGTATCAGAAATATCGATACTTTAGGATCAGTAATCTCTGGAAGGACAGAAAGCCTCTGGCTGCATTCGGAACCACCCACCTCATACTACGACCCCGGTATGCAGGATGTGCTACGTACTGCACTATTTATTTTACTGAGTTGATTTCTGTAACATATTTAAACTCACAGTGAGGCTGTTTTTTGTGTGTTTGTGTGTGTACATGAGCTGTGCGACCGGCTCGGACCGCTCCTCACTTCAGTTTGAAGGTTTTTAATAGTCCCCGTAGTCCCAGTTCGACCTGGTCCATGGATCTGGATCCGTCTGTTAAACTCGGAGTTGATCCCTCTCTTGGTGATGGAGGTTCGGTTTGTCGCTCGGGTTTGTGTTGCTGTTGCTGCTAGGGGCAACAAGGCCCTCTCCCGTGGTCGGCGTCCCCCCGGGGCCGGACGACCTCCGCTCCGTCCCTCCATTCATTCAGGACGGAGGATTGGGTCATTGAGAAAACACACCTGGGTTAATAACAGTAATGACACCGCAGCTAATAATGACAGGAAACCCCCCCACACGCCCCGTCCACTTGCCCTTTAATTAGCGACGACTTTCTCTGCTAGCGGTGATGTCATGTTACCCCTGTTGCCAAGGGAAACAGAGTGGATTTAAATACAGGTAAGTAGAACCAAATAGATTTTCAGAGGCCTGTAAACCTGTAGTACAAATATGTAGACATGTATTACAGTTTCAAGTCTTCTAATAATCTGTGTGCATCTGTAGAATCATGTCTGTCTGTCCACAATCCCTCTGAAAAGAAGACATGAACGTGAAGCCGGCCTGTTCACTGTGGCTCTACTCTCCGCGGAGACTTCGGTCTACCTTGCATAAACGCTATGCACGCTTGGCATTTAGTTTGAAACTGGTATTAGAGACAACTGTTGTTGACAGACGTGGATCCTGATCAGACACGTTTGTATCTGCCGTCCAGCCGGGTCTTCGAGACGTCCCTCTCCCCAGCAACGTCTTCCAGCTCCTCCTGGGGGATCCCGAGGTGGTCCTAAGTCAGATGAGATATATAATCTATCCGGTGTGATCTCGGTCTAGCCCCGGGTCTGCTACCAGTAGGGCGTGCCTGGAAAAGGTGCACGCTCAGGAGGATCAGATGCCACCTCAGCTGGCTCCTTTTGACGCGACGAAGCAGCAGCTGCACTCTGAGCTCCCTCTGGATGTTCGAGCTCCGCACCGTCTCTCAAAGGCCCAGAAACACCTACAGCTCATGACCGCAGGTGAGGGCCGGTGTTCTGACGACTTATGCTTCCTTCTTGAAAAATGCTAGCATGGCGCGAGTCGACAGCAGGGTGCATCGGCTCGCGCTGCCCTGTCGAAAAATGCGACCTTATGTGTTCCTGTTTCCAAATGTGCAAAGGTGTTACTGTCACACTATTATGACATCTTGTTTTTTGAGCATATCTTGATAATCTTTATATAAGATTGCGTATTTATCTCCTATCAAACAATGCTCCCACCACAGAATGATGTAATGTTTATATTTTATATGAATTGTGTATTTTTAGACATTGCTCACGATCAGCCACATTGTCTGCACAGATTTACGGGCGTGGACACGCTTGTGGGTCATGCGCAGAACTGCTAAGGTAGCATATGTTGACAGAACACCGGAACCTAGATCGGCTCCTTATGTGAAAGCTTTGACTCCCGGCTCAGCTCCTCCTGAACCACAGTGGTCCAGCACAACACCGCATTACTGCTGACGCCGCACTAATCCAGCCGTCCGTCTAATGCTTTATTTTACCCCCGCTCACGAACAGCCGCCCGAGATACTTCAACTCCTCACTTGGGGCAGAAACTCATTCCCAACCCGGCAGGGAACCACGGCCTCAGACTTGGAGGTGCTGACTCCAACAATATGGACTTTATTGAGTTTTGAGTGTCCATTACTTAACAAAGCATAAGAACATTAAAAATACGCTGGTGCATTAAAACCAAAAACCTGACGGTGAGGTGCAACAACAAACAAAGGTCACCTGCTAAACTGTCCACGTGACGGAGCGTATCTGATCAGTCACTGGATTGAATGATTGATTTTGAAATTATAATCCTTTTCACTGCTTAGGCTCTCAAACTCTTGTGTCCACTTGAACTCTGTCGTGTGTCTCTGTGGTTTGAGTTGGCTGCCGAGGCTGGACAGGAATCCGCAGAGGTTTCCCTCCTGGTGGAGTTCAAACTCACATGACCCCGATGTTAAGGTGAGAAATAAATAGAGCTGCAGGTGACTCATGACTCTGGCTTTGAACTTGGACCAGCGTCCTCCATAACATCACTGCAGCAACAGGGACAACACCATCACCCGTAGAAACAGCCATGGAGAGGACTTGTGGAGCCAAGATGGCTGACAAAATGCTCTGGCAAAGCGCCATCACAACCAGGGTTCAAGTCCTCGTGTTTCCTCTCATGGAGGTGGTCATTTAACATCCATACTGACCAGTTTTTATTACATTTGCCGTTGATTTATGCTGCCCAGAGGATGAAACCTCAAGATTCTGGTGACCAGGATTCCATGTCGGCCAGTCACAAAGGGCCAAAGCTGGTTCACACTTGGCAATCAGCTGCTTTTCCATAAAATAGAACCGGTGCGGCTCTGCTCCCCAGAGAATAAACCCCTTGACCCTGTTCCCCATCACAGTCCCTCAAACTAAATCTCTCTGACGTTTAATAATGATGATTCCGAATGATGATGTGAGGAATTAATGACGCAGGAAGGGGGGGGGCTATAAATAGCCAGAATTGTGTGTAATGGTTGTAAT